AATCCCATGTAAATTTACCAGAAACTTTCCAGAAATTTACCAGAAATGTTTCGCCCCTTTGCACCAACTCACTCTCTTACATTGCAAGAGAGACTTATGGACATATTTTTTATCATTGTATGTCTTGTGTTTGAACTGTTTGATTCTCTGATCTTTGTTGGCAAATTCAACAGTTTCAGAGAAAACAACTGTTTTGATTTAGGGCTGTACAAGTATAAATTTAATTGAATTAGGAGCACAGGGAAAATCACTTATATTATAAGTCAGGGGTCCCCAATTAAGGGCACGAGGTCCACTTACGTGATCAGTTCAATAGATCAGGGTCCGGACAGCATACAAATATTTTATTTCATAGAAATCCATTCAAGCTATTTTTTCATATGAAATTATTTGAAAACCTTAAACAACAACAGTAGTAAGAACTATTTGAAAAAAATAATAATCTAAATACAGGAGTATATAATTCACACATAACATTAATCTCCTTTGTTTATTTCTATACAACACAACACACCACAAACCTCTACACAACACACCACAAACCTCTACACAACACACCACAAACCTGTCCCAAACTCTCAGAGCAGAGAGTGCAACACATTAATTGTGGAGGATAAGGGGGTCTTTTTGTTCAAGTGCTTCTTTCCATCAAAGAACCTTTTTGCAATCACCTCCACACTCTGACCTCCTCCTTCTCCTCCTCCTCCGCACACTGTGACCTCCTCCTCCTTCTCCTCCACCTCCGCACACTGTGACCTCCTCTGACCTCCTCCTCCACACTCTCTGACCTCCTCCTCCACACTCTCTGACCTCCTCCTCCACACTCTCTGACCTCCTCCTCCACACTCTCTGACCTCCTCCTCCACACTCTCTGACCTCCTCCTCCACACTCTCTGACCTCCTCCTCCACACTCTCTGAGCTTCTCCTCCTCCACACTCTCTGAGCTTCTCCTCCTCCACACTCTCTGAGCTTCTCCTCCTCCACACTCTCTGAGCTTCTCCTCCTCCACACTCTCTGAGCTTCTCCTCCTCCACACTCTCTGAGCTTCTCCTCCTCCACACTCTCTGAGCTTCTCCTCCTCCACACTCTCTGAGCTTCTCCTCCTCCACACTCTCTGAGCTTCTCCTCCTCCACACTCTCTGAGCTTCTCCTCCTCCACACTCTCTGAGCTTCTCCTCCTCCACACTCTCTGAGCTTCTCCTCCTCCACACTCTCTGAGCTTCTCCTCCTCTACCTCTCTGACCTCCTCCTCCACACACTCTGACCTCCTCCTCCACACTCTCTGACCTCCTCCTCCTCCACACACTCTGATCACAAGGCTTTTTATGCACTAAAGTTGGGCATACGCTGTTTACTAATGCTTTTAATATGTTTTTTGATGTGTACCTCTGTCTCGCGCCTCCTCGCTGCTCCTCCTCACACATCTCTGTCTCGCTTCTCGCTCCTCCTCCTCCGCTCATACAGCCAGTGCGCATCCAGCGCTCCGTACACAGCGCTCATTCCCGCCTCTTTCATGTCTCTGACTCTCACTCGGATTCAGACACTGCTAAAGTTATTATGATAGCTCCGTGTAGTTTTCTCGAAGGACCCGACATAGCCGGCCTCGCGCCTGCCTGTTTACAAATTGCTTTCGGTGAAAATTTTACACATGATCGTAATAATGTACTTTTGGACAAAAAAATCACGGAGGTCCAGAAAAAAGGGTCTCGGGGTCCGGACCTGGACCGCGGTCCGCCATTTGGTGACCTAGGTTATAAGTGAATATTGACCGTGTGATTATAATATATGTATGTAAGATGGCAGTTTTTTTGTTTGTTTTTTTTACAGGAAAGTTACTAGATGCCTTTTGAAAGCGTCCTCAGGTCTGGAGACAGAGCAAAGAGGACCAAAACCAGTTTGAACGTTCTCATGTTGGCGCTCTTGTAAACGCTCTCCATGACTTTCTTTTTCTTTCAGTCTCCAAAACCTAAAGCTCGAGGCAAACCCAAGAAAACTCCAGCAAAAAAACAGAAAACCCCAAAAAAACCTGCCAAGAAGAGAAGCCGTAAAGAAGATTCAGACTCGGATTCGGAGAGCAGCGAGGACCCAGAGGTGAGAAACTAGAAAGAAGGTGCGGAAACACATCAGACCAGGGGGTCCCAGAGACACCACAGCAGGAAACAAACTACACCGTATTTTCCAAACTATAAGCTGCAGGCTCAAACATTGTATATATTACAAATGCTTTTTCTCTAGCAGTGCCTTTAACCTTTAAAAGTACCGTCTGGTATATATTGTTGACGAGGGTGAGTACAAATGACTGATTGACAATCCTGACAATTTAATTGGACCTCTGTGAACTGCCACCGAAAACATTAAAGCTGCACCTCACTATAAGGTTTTTCCAGCATTTTTCTTCAAAAGGCAGGAAAAAAGCTGCAGTTTATAGTCCGGAATTTATGGTACTCTGGGTTCCTTTTAAAGCAGGGGTATCAATCTGGATCCAGACAGAGCTGGTGTGACTACAGGATTTCACTGCAATCAAGCAGGAGCGCACCAGAATCCACCCATTTCCTCAACTGAGTCCAGTCTTTACCTGAAGACTTAAGGAAATGGATGGAGTTTGTTGTGGTCCTGCTTCGTTGGAATGAAATTCTGTATTCAGAGAATAGTTTAAAATCCTAGTTACTGAGTTGACAAATGGGTCAAATCCCAAAAGATTGTAGCAAGAGGGTGTTCCTCATGAATGAATTCTTATGAAGCTCCCTCTTCTTAAATCGGGCTAATCCATAATCACATTCATTTGCATATCCCTGTTGGATGTCTTACCTTTATGATGTGTTTTGTGCCCAGCCCCAGAGGAAGAAGCCCAAACCTGCGGCGAGGACAAAGAAAGCGGACAGCAGCAGCAACAGCAAAACTCCCCCAGGTCCGAATCTGCTTTTCTAATGGTACATGTCCCAATCCAACATGGTACAATGTAACTGAAGTGTGTGTGTGTGTGCAGTGAAGGACAGCTCTGACGAAGACAAGCCTCTGAGCAAAATGATGATGAAGAAGAATCCAAGTGACGACCAACTGACGGAAACAGTGAAGAGTTTACTGAAGGAGGCAGATCTAGAGGAGCTGACCATGAAGCAGATCTGTCAGAAGGTACGAAAGCTGCTGCTCCTTAATGGTGTCCCGATATTTGGCCCAATCAAATCGATAGAGTAGAGGAAAGTATTGAGATATATAATAAAAAATGTGTTTCACTTAAGTCTTTTCTGAGTTCACTCTACAACTGCTGCTACTGCCGCTATTTGCACAACAATAACAAGGAGGTCCCTGTTAACATTCAGCCTCCAGACGGGTCATTTTTGAGTTAGGTTTGCATGTTCTCCCCCAGTCTGCGTCGGAATCCTCCTTTCGTTCCGGTTTCCCCTACCTCTAAAAACATGTACAATAGGTTCAATAAATGAGTGTGTGTTTGTCAATGTCAATGTCAACTTTATTTATATAGCACATTTACAACAACACCAGCTGCCCAAAGTGCCTCACAGGCACGAATGATAAAAATAAAAATAAAACAGTATAAAATACATACACATACATGTAAAAGTAAAGTGGTAAAACCTCAACTGGTGTTAAAAGCCAAGGTGTAAAAATGTGTCTTTAAACTAGACTTAAAAACTTCCAATGAAGGAGCTGCTCTGATGAACAGAGGTCACTATTCCACAGTTTGGGGGCAGCAACAGAAAAGGCTCGGTCTCCTCGAGTTTTGAGACGAGACCGGGGCACATTCAACAACATCTGGTTTTCGGACCGCACTGATCTGACCGGAGCATACAAAGATAACAGCTCCGACAGATATACAGGGGCCAAACCATTCAAACATTTAAAAACAAGCATCAGAATCTTAAAAGTGCGACTGGGACGATGTAAGTAAATAAGCCCAAGCCCATTTACAGCACTACCGTTCATTAAGACACTGTTCCAACCAAATAAATGCAACGTTATTGATGGGACATACAGGCACGTTTTAACCACATCACCCTACAGTTGGATGATGCAGAAGTTAAGAGTCCTTTATGTGACATTTATCTCCTACAGGACTTTTGATTTTTTTAGTTCTGCGTTTTAATGATTGCTGTTGAGCTTGTGAAGCACTTACTGTGTTTAGAAAAGTTCTATACAAATAAACATGTATTTGGCCTTTGCATGTGTGCAGGTGTTTGATGTGTACTCTGACCACGACTTGAGCAGCAGAAAGGACTTCATCAAACAGACTGTCAGATCGGTAAGTCCGTCTGTGTGTGTCTCATGGGGGCGGGTCCCGGCCATGGACCTATAATAATAACTGGATAGGGTATTACTAGCTTACAGCTGTCCCACCCATGGGCACAGGGGGCGCTGTGGTACTGCAGACTAAATTACATGGGCTACCCAGGAAAAAGTCCCATAGAACTCAATGTAAATTAAAACAGCTCGATCTCAGCTGACAGAACCTACAGCTTTCATAAAGATCGGATTTTGTGGGGATTTTAGTGTCCCTTGTCATCCTGAACATTTTTTCTTCTTAAATCCTTCGGTTTTCTTTAAATCCACACTTTACTGCCACAAACTCTGCTTGTTTCCTTTCCGCTCTGGCTCCGCTCTACCACTGCTCTGATCAGCAGCTCTGATTGATCAAAGCACGGCTGAGCCCCTCTGTGCACGTGCATGAGAGCCACACACACGTATTTGGCGAAATGCATCATGGGAGCTCATCCACGGCGCAGAACCGGGAGGACCAGACGGTGCTCAAATATAGGCGAGTTCCGCTAATCTTATGGGCCGCGTTAAGTCCCATGCGCTACTGAGCACAAGCCATTAATTTGAATAGGACGCCATCTTGGATCACCGGGCTTGGTCCCGGCTCAAAAGGGTCCCTGAGCATCTGCACTGACAAGCTTGTAGTCTGACTCCTTGCCGGTGGTACCGGGAAAAGAAATATCCTAATAATTCTAATACCGTCTTCTTTCCTCTTGAAATCGGCTTTACAGCCTGGTCGAAAAATCAGCTCTTTGCTCAACACTATGTTCCAGATGCAAACGCTGAGGAAAGTATTTGTTTTTTGGACCAGCCTAGTTTAGCCGCTGAGGACTTTTGAATGGACTTGTTAAATTAATGGGCTTGTACCGGCTAATGCATGCGCAAATGCGTTTTTCTTCACGTTTTCCTGTGGGAGGGGTCACTTGCAGCACTTCTAAAAAAAGGCGGCAGGAGGAAAAAGTGATGACACATAAGTTTTCACTTTTCTTAGAAACAAGCGTGTATTAACTGGCACCGGCAGTCGTACGTCCACACGCCCTGTGTGTATGGATACAACAATATTAGGACCAGTTATAAAACAGGATTATTAATCTAAAAAAAAATCTACATTTGCAAGCTAATACACCCTAAAACAATGGACACTGCAGGTCTGTGACATTGTTAAAATAGAAATTCAGGTTAAGCCTGGATAAAAAGCGACATCCAGCTTTAGTGTGACTGCTGCTGTTCTCAGAGTGTCCTCCAGGGGGCAGCAGTCTGTAATGTGGTGTGTTTTGTGTTCCAGCTGATCACATGAGGATCCTGCACCTGTCAGAAGTTTCGGTGATGTTTTTTTTTTGTAAAATACTTGGTTAATGTGTGTGTCGCTCCGTGAGTCGAATAAAGAATTAGACAAATGTTGTAAATATGTTTTTTATAAAATATTTTTGAAAATGTTAAATTGTGTCGTAAGACTTTGTGGTTTTAAGTTTCATTAAAAAAGTACTTTTCAACAAATCTGAATCTTGTGACGTTTGTTTTCTGCCGAGTTCTGCAGAAGGGTTGAGTTGTGTGACAGAGAAAGCAGATGTTCTCAAACCTATTATCATTTTTTTTTCTTGAGAGGGTGAGGTTGTTTGAGACTTCAAAATTTGCTTGAAATAATGCTTTTTCAAAAAGGCTCTAAAATACATCAAAACTCATGTTGAAGTCACTTTAAGTCACTAATGACCTGCACTACGACTGAAGACCCAGCACTGCTATTGACACTTTTTTATTGTACATAATTATATCCTCCACAGACTATTTTTAACATGTTGCACACACTGAATGATTTTATCTATGCCAAATGCGACACGTAATTTCTCCTTGTGAGATCAATAAAGTTTATCTTATGTTCTATTTATTTATTTCAGTTTGAATCTACATTAAATCCAGAATACATTATTATAGAGGACCTCACTGAGATGTGCTGGCAGCTCTATTGTGCCCCTGGGCCCTGGCCCAGCAGCCCTCGACAGAGGTGTCAAGATCCCAGGAGCCACAGTTCTGTGCTTCCCTGGGGCTAGGATGGGTGACATTGAGGGAAATCTGAGACTCCTGATCCAAAACAAGCAACGTTTTGGTCGAGACGTTATTCATGCGGGTGGCAATAACATTCAGCGGAAACAGACAACAGAGATGTTGAAGCTGCTGGTGGCCGTCGTGTGTAATCTGGCTAGCACAATGGCGGACACTCATGTTTTCTGAACCCCCACTTAACACCGGCAGTGAAGAAGCATACAGCAGAATGTTTTACTTCGCAGGCTGTCTAGTTGGTGCCCTCAACGTGGTGTTGTCTTTATTGACAACTGAAGGTCCTTTTTGGGAAAGTCTAGCTCGGATGATGTCCACCCAACGTTGAAGTGTACAATAATAAGTCCCTGACTCTAAATTCTTTGGCTGGCTCAAATGACAGTCTAGAACAGAGGCCTGGGTGCACCAGAGAAGTTCTCACCAGAGAAGAAGAGAGCAGACTCCAACTGGAGCGCTCATAAGAACACAAAAACGTGTGTTTAAACCCAAACCAGCCACCACAGTTCAGTCAAACAAGACAACAGTGACACAGTCTTAAGAAGACACCTAAACCCCCAGAAATAACCCCTAACTCCCAATTTACATTCCCTAAAATCTGATAGACCTTTTTCACAATGACAACATAGGCTTCCACTTCCAAAAATAGATTTTAAAAAATCTCAATATCACAGGGGGAACAACACTACTTGGCACTTAATCGTTCGAATTTCGGTCATTGACATACTGTGATGGTAAACTGCTCAGATAATACCAGATACTACAAAGAGGGGCGACTGTAAACTTGTCGGTGTGTCCTTAGTCAAGACACTTCACCCACTTTGCCTTGAGTGAATGCTGTGTGTGTGAATGATAGGTGGTGGTAGGAAGGGCCGATGACAGGCAGCCTCACTTGGAGCAGTTTCCCTCAGGGCAGCTGTGGCTAGTGGGGATGAATGTTAGTTCGACTTGTTGCATGCAATATGAAGCTGTATTCCAGATTGATGCAACAGTTTGAGGGCACCAGACGCACATTCTCTAATTTTATCCGCGTGAGTTTTGAAGTACTGCCCTGTGGTGGGGAAAAACACAGGCAGCAGTGGCGGGTGGGCTTTGATGCTAACAGGGTTAAGCTGGCGGCTTTTTGTTTAAAGAAGAAGGTCCTTTATTCGTCCCACAGTGGGGAAATTTCAGTTTGATGAATACACATATACACATCAAGGCATTAAGTGAACATTATTTATGCGTTCTTATAGGAAAAGTGGGTTAAGTGTCTTGCCCAAGGACACAATGATAGCAAATATCACTGGAGTTGCTAGAGAGGGTCTGACGGCGGGCTTGAACTCACGACCTTCATTCTCAAAGGTCAATGCTCTACCAACTGAGCCACTGTCACGTCACTGTGTCCAGGAACCTTCCAGAGACTTTATATAACAGCAGTAGGTGTTCACGGAGCTGCGTCATAAGTTAATTTTTATTATTAAACAGTACTTCCACATTGACGAACACGTTGGCAGAACTTGTTTACAGTCACGGGAGAATGAGAACTCAGGCTGGAAGCACATGTTCACAAGCACTGTCCCTCATTGTCAATCCTATTTTTTTTTTTTTTCATACTTTATTGTGTCATCTTCATTAGTTCACACTGTTTTCTTAATACATACAGCTTAACCAGACAAATTTTAATTTCTTTTTTTTTTTTTTTTTTTTACCCCACTATGCACCCCTTGTGTCAAAAAAAAAAAAACAAAGGTTAAAACAAAACAAAGCAAAACAAATACATAGACAAATAAGGAGAAAGTATGTATATATACGCAAAAATAAAATATATATATACAAAAAAATATATATATATATATATAAATAACAATATTAAAGTAAATAAAATACCCTTAACAATAGATGGTTATTCTTATGGCTGTATGTTAAATAGTTTTGATGTTATATTGATAAGTGTACAGAATGTGTAGTCAGTCTTCCTCTGTGACCATTTTTGTTGAATTTATATATACATACACACACGCACAGATACTCGTTTGCACACCTATATACTCATGTACATACATATACGCGCACATGCATACATCCACATACATGCATACGTACATACACGTACAATACACATGCAAGCATATACACGTACACATGCATGCAGACATATAATCACACACAAACCTGTAAAAACACAATATTTTTCTCATATTTATCCTTCCCTTTCAGAAGCTCCTCTCTACTTAGTTTTATGGTTATTGTTGAGATAATATATATATATGTATACATACCCACATACACACACAAATACACGCCTATATATATATATATTTTTAGATGGTCACTTTTACGTAAATATATCATCGAAGGTGTGCCATTTTCTCCTGAATTCATCTTCCTCATTATTCATTTTGTGTGACAGTTTCTCCATTAGCGGAACCTCTTGAATTGCTTCCATCCAGTTTTGGATTTTGGGGTCAATCCTATTTTAGTCCTGGTTTAGCTCCTGTTTTGGCTGTTTACAGTATCTTCAATCTTCTGGCCCTCATCGCTGCTGTCCACGTGATCACTTTGCGGCTCTCTGATTGGTTGCCGCACGTGTGGCCAGTGGGAAAAGTTCAACAATGTTCATCTCCTTCTGTCGCCGCATGCATCGAGTCTGCGTACCCATTGCCTCTGCCGCTCTGCAACGCCACGTCTGCCGAGCACAAACTGTTGTCACCATTCACTTTGCATTGAAACGACATGGTCCGGTCTATAGTCAATAGAAGAAGCGAGTAGGCGCAAAACTTCGTCCATGAGCACTTTCCTGTTGGACTTTATGATCAAGCAGGTTGGCCTTGTCCATCTGTTTACATGCTCTGGATTTGAATCACCACTTTAACTAGACTGATCTGTAAACTCACACGTTTCTGCTGTTTGTGCACAAAGGCACTTCAATAATAACTATGTTTCCATCAGAAGCTGTGTTTTTATTCACAGCATCACAGTTAAAGGAGTTCTGAAACAATGAGTCTATAGAACTGTCACATAAACCTACGCCTAGAAACACATGTAATGAGCTCAAACAGCTACAGTTCGCTATAGTTGGTTTTCCAATGATGTCACACACTACCCACAATTCCGCAGTTCGCCATATTGTGCGTCTAGCCCCCGATAGTTGTAGATAAACAAAGCATTGCACATCACTTTTTTTGTGCTAAAACATGCCGATTACCGGCGTCATGTGGGGGGGCAGTAGTCGTGCAGATTGTGGGGACATTCCGAAGGCTATTACGAGCCACGGGAGCGACTCTCGACGGAGAGAAGAACCCTTTAGTTGTCGAGGATCAACCGAGAGGGATTCAACCTCCTGAAAAACTGCACTATAAGGTCTGTTCTGACCATTTCATAACAAGTAAGAGCTAAATCTGTGCATGTGTGGTTTATATTCAAGGCTGGGATTTGACTGTGATACCATATATGGGCCTCAAGTGATCCCCTCTAAATGAATGAGAGGGAGAGAAGGAGGAAAGGGTGGTAGACAGAGGCTTGTATGGCCGTGGGTCAGTGATTTACGGCCTGTGATATCGACTGCTTCGTTCAAAATTATTGAATGATTGAAAGAAATATTGCATCATATACATCATGACGTTTTTTTATTGTAAAACTGTTAAGTGAAAGCAAGCCATTTCTGGCAAAGTCCACTGGTCCCACCGCATTCCATATGAATCCAAATCTACGATCACTCAATTTCTCAAAGGATCTTGCCTCACAGATTACTCCAGTGTATCAATATACTTAACGCAAATTCGTGGCTTTAGATGACATGGGGACAATGATCCGTGCAATATAGGCCAGACCCACAACATGTCGTTCGCACAAAGCATCATGGGTAATAAGCATGTGGCGGAAAACTGAATTTATCACTTCTGTTTTCAGCCAACTATCAACAATGACTTTAATAGATTGGACATTTTGCCATTGACACTGAAGGGAAGAATTGAAGCAATTCTGTCACGTGGGTAAAACTCAAATAAGACCCCAAACTGCAAAAATAATGGATCTAGCAAAAAACACAAGGAATGAGGACAGAACTGAAACACACAGGGCTAAATACAAGACTAACGAGACACAGGTGATACAGATGAGGGCGGGGCCGGTAGTCAGGAAACAGGAAGAGCAACCGAAGAAGACACAGGGATATAACAAACTACAAAATAAAACAGGAAAACCATGACAAATACGGATGAATATTCTGCCAAGGTTATTTTTTTTTTTTCCAATCCCTGCCCA